TGACTGAACTGTGAACCTAAAGATGGTGGAGGTGATAAATTTTATGTTATGTGCATTTTACCATAATTTTTTTAAATAGCATCAGCTATTATTAAAGACAAGAAACTTCCTGCAAAGGGGTCATGGGCACCATCATCCTGGCCTCCTGACACCACCTGCCGGTGCTGGTGAAAGGCGGGGGCCCTGGTGAGCGGTCCTGGGGGCTGCGCGGAGGCCACAGGGGTGGAAGCCTCGTGTCGAGCCGAGAAGTCATCACCTCTTGACAGAGGTCTGTGGCCGGCATCTTGCACGATCCTTGCTCTCCCAGGTGTTTCCTTAGAGCGTCTCTGCCTATGGACGTAGCACAAACACACTGGCTGCGAGTCGCGGGCCTTTATGTAATTTGCTCCTTAGTCATTGTCTGGCCAGGAGGTCGGCCTGCAGCGCAGTGCCTCCCTCCCCTGGGCCTCTGCAGGGGCTGCACCGTGGGCGCGGGGGGCAGTAAGCCTCCGCGGCGAGCTCCACCACAGGGAACTTGGAGGGATAAGAGCCGAGCTGTCTGGACGTCATTCGGCTGAGATAGCAGAGAGGGTTTCCCCGAGCCTGCCAGGCACCGATGGCTTCTAAACTTGGGGGGACATCACGATGCCCCGTGTGAGCGCAGGGCCAGGGTAGCCCCGGCCGGGAAAGGGTGGCATCCGCAGGGATCCAGCCTGAGCCCCCACCTCCTGCCCAGGCCGCCGGCCTTCCCGCCCCAGCGGCAAGGGATCCCCACTGAGCCCACCGCAAGGGTCAGCGACGGGGTCTGCACTCGCACAGCGTGCGGGCAGAGGTCCACGCCAGCCCGACACCCTTTGTTCACGACTCTTTTCCTCATAAATACAACGGAGAGAGTCCAGCTTCCCAAAGCAGAGTGGGATTCAGTGAGAAAGGTCCCGGGGCGGGCTCGGGAGAAACAGGCGTGGACACCAACACTCAACACACTCATACACTCATATACACACATTCACTCGCACATATACACTCAGACACACGTACACACATGTACACTCAGGCGCCCACATCCACACTCACACACATACATACCCACATATTCACTCAGAGATATACACTCACATTCACACTTATACACACGTACACACACACACACACACACACTCACACACACACACCCTTACTCTCAGGCAGGCCCAGTGGTGGTGAGTACAGGGCCCAGCCCATGCCCGCCTGCCCCCCAGCTGGACAGGCTGCGAGGGACGCGATAGCGCCCTGGGCCTTCAGGTCCAGACACGGCTCTCGGCCCCGCTCAGCCCCATGGCAGCATCTACACGTCCAACCAGCTTGCACTTTCCCGGGAACCTGTCTGCTCTCCCAGAGCTGAGCTTCTTCATTCTTAAACCCAGAAATCTTAGAAGATCCAGTCAAACACACATGGAATTCCTGTGAGTGGAATGAAATTCATTTCTTGCACATGTGTCTGGAGGGAAAGATGTATGACTGTAAAGAAGAAGCTACCAGACAGCTTAGACGTCACCCTGGTTTTTCTCGATGGCTTACTCTTTAATGATGGCATCACCCTGAAATATCCCCAGAAGTGGACGTGACAGAGGAACGCACCACCAGGGGCTCTGACTTGGCGTCCCAGCACCAGAACACATCCGCCCCAGCATCGGCCCCGGCGCGGATGCTGGGCCAGGACCTCTAGCTCCTCGGCCGGGTCCTTCCGGGGACAGAAGCGCTGCGGGAGCACGTGGTAAAGGGGAGCACTGAGCCCCGCACACCTGCACAGGACTCAGGACCCCGGAGACAAGGCTGGGCCTGGCTCCGCAGGGGGCTCCCAGCCCCGCCGCCCCTTCAGGGAGGAGCCAGGGTCACCCCAGCCCCGGGGGCCGCCCCCGTGCCTCCCCCACGTCACCGCTAGCCCTGCACTCAGGTCCTAGGACCCCACACTTCAGCACATGTGAGGTAAAGGAAGTCGTCGTTCGGGCTGCGACGCGGTTCGCGGTGAGCCCACTGGGCAGGCCAGGCGCCAGGTCCCCACGCGCACGGGTGCGGTGCCCCTCCCGGGGGCGAACCCCTGCACGACATCTGGTCCGGTCGGGGCGAGCTTCTCAGTGGGTCCCGCCCAGAGCCCCTCCCCTCGGCGCTGAGGCCCCTGCCCCGTGGTGCTGGTCCCTTCGCCCAGTGGGTGCTGGTCGGTTGCTCGCTCCATCGGGCGGGAGTTCCGTGAGGGAGGGGCCGCTGGGCGCCCATGTCTGGAGATGCTGGGCGCAGAACCCACCCATCCAGAGCTTGCGGAGGCCCCGTCATCCGGCTCCACCCGAGCTGGGGAGGCGCCGGGAGCAGGGGCCGCGCTTGCCTCCCCGGGGGGGCCTCGACGGTGGCCGGAAAGGAGGCCCTTGGATGACGAGGTGCTCTCTACGGACACATTTCTAAAGCGACCGAGGGGCGGATGACGGCGCAGGCAGCCACACCGAGGCAGACCGGGGTCCTGGGCCGGCTCGAGCCGAGAGGAGGTGACGGGACGGAGGGCGAGCTGAGAGGAGCGGGGCGCAGGGCGGCTGGGCAGCAGCCTGAGCCGGTCCTGGGCACCACGTGGCTGCTGACCCCTGGACGGCCCCTGCCTCAGTGTTCTGTGCAAAACGGGAAGATAACAGCAACCTCTAATCTCGGGTACCACCTCCTGCGGCCCTTCGCTCACAGTTTGAGAATTCCCGAGTTTGTGGAATAAGCAGGGGAACATCTCAAGCAAGTCGTTCGTAAGCGATGGGAGGGAAAGAACGCCCCCCAGGCGGGGCTGCTCAGGTATGGGGACCAGCTCTAAAGAAACTCAACTCGACACCTGGATGCAAGGCGCTCCTGCCAGCTCCTTGGCTAACGGGGGGCCAGGAGCCAGCCTGCCTGCAATAAGGTAATTGCCGCTGTAACTCCTTAACTGACAGCAGTGATGGTCTTTAGACAGCACTTATTTTCCAGGGACCTTACAAGGCTTCGTTCTCCCCGGGAAACTCGCACACCACACCCGTTTCAGGATGGAGAGTGGCAGAGGGCCGGCCAGGGCCAAGTCTCTCCGGCTGTGATGGGGGAGAAGCTGCACCACCTCAAGCAGGCAAGCAGCACGTGTCGCTCCTGAGCTTAAAACCAGGCCCGCCCCCAGCGCCCACCAGACACAGGCCTTCCCTCAGGGGCCCCGTCCGTCTCCCCCGCCGCACCCCCCCTCCCCGGGCGCACCCCGGCCTCTGCCCCCCGCCCTGCGCTGTGCCCCACGTGCGGCATCCTCAATGCCGGCTCCCTGTCCCTCCCTCGGAACATGGCCCCCGATTGAGCTCACTGGCAGCCCCCCAAGGAGCCTCCCTCAACACCCCCCGGGCACGGGGGGTCACTGCGACGCAGGCCCTGGAGGGCAAACTGCCCCACGCAGGATCCCCACCCTGGGCCAGGCCCCGCGCCTGTCTCGCATCAGAAGATGAACTTGCCCAGGGCGGGAATGGGTCCTCCCCCGCCTTGGCTTCTGGACCTGCCCCAGGACCCAGGTGTGCTCAGTGGTGCCTGGGGTGGGGGAGAGCATCAAGGGTCCTGCCCGGGGAGGCTCTGTTGTGGGCGCTCAGCTCTGGGGATGAGGTCTCGGGCCTCGGGCCGGGAGGGGAGGGGTCTGATGAGGGTGCGGGACCACCCGCAGGCCGCCCATCGGAGGGGAAGCCCACCCCCATGTGGGTGGGCAGAGCGAGGATGGACCTCACGTCCCGGGAGGCCCCTGACGCTGCACTATCTCTGCCTTGAGAGTAAACTATTCTCCGCAAACAGCGAGGCTGCCGTCCAAAAGCAGCTTGACGTCTTTTCCCACGAAATCACTTTGCATCCTGAGGTTTTCTCTCCTGACTCAACACGCCCGCCATTGGCCCAGCTGCCCAACCAGTGTGGACCTCCCGGCGCTAAGCCTGATCGCGTCACCCCTGAATGCCCCCCCCTTGTCACTCACCTGGTCACTGCCACCACCTCCAGCCTTCCTCCAGGTCACCACCCCCAGCTCCCTGCACTCAGTCCAGAAGCTTCAGCTTCCTCCCCTTTCCGTGCAAAACAAAGTCCAGATCCCGGCGGCCTGGCACTGAAAGACCCCACGACCGACCTTTGTCCTAACCTGCTCTGCCCCGTGCGGTCAGGACCAGCCCCATGGGCTGTTTAGATACACGTTTGAAGTGACGTGAAATGAAAATAGATGCTCTCAGCCACACCGGCTGCACCTCGCGTGCCCAGGAACCACCTCAGGCTTGCAGCTGCTTACAGGGCAGCACAATTCTGGAACATTCCGTGCCTAGACGGGCCTGGAGGGAGAGGACGGGAAGCTGCTCTGGGCCGTTCTCTACCCAGCGAGGGGCACCCAGACTTCCTTGGGTCCCAGCAGGCTTACAAATTCATCACAACGAGGTCCCAGGTGTCCCTTTTCTGGGGACAAATAAGACTCTGCTTGAGAGACGCTGGGAGCAGCGCCCTTGCACAGGGGACCCAGGAAACCTGAGCACCCAGAGCTTCCCTGGCATGAAATGGGGGCACCGGGGCAGGTGTGCTCAACAGTGACCCTCAGCAGCGCCAGCGGAGGGGTGTGATGACTCCATGGTTTCACCTCGTGGTCCCCAAGCCTCGGGACGCATGGAAACCCTTCGGTGAGAACCAGGCCGCCTCCCAGACCCACCGGCTCAGAAGCCCAGAGGTGGGTCCCCCATGTCGACAACTGGCAGGGCCCCTGGGACTCCAGTGAGCGCGCTGGACTGAGAACAAGATTCTCCTCTTCCCTCCCGCGTTCCTCAAAGGCACAGGCTCCTAACAGAATGAGCGGAGTGCTGGAACTCCTTTCTCCCAGCCGGACACAAGCCCTCAGTCAGGGCTATTTATACAAAACTGCTGCTGGGGACGATGATTAAATCGCTCTCAGAAACACGCTGTTGACGTTTCCACCTGAGAGTCCTGGCGTCCAAGGGAAGCGGGCACAGCCTCTCCCTGTCGTGACCCACCCCACCTCTCACCTCCGGGTGCCCGTGTCGCTCTCTGTGTCACGTCCAGCCCGAGTCCATTGTGTGCCCGCGATGTCTGAACAGGTGATAGATTCCATCACGGAAACTTACCTGCCAGCACTCGTCAGTATTTACTGAAGCCTGAAACGCAAGTAAAAAACAATTTGTTTTCTCTCTGTTTATGGAAACTGCTTCTAAAATAACTGAATTGTGTCAGCATCAAAACCACTGCCTGGTGCAGCTGCACTAGGCTGACCGGCACTGAATGAGGAGTCCAAGGAGTTTGGGGCTTGCAGGGACCCTGAAAACCACGAGCCAACGGCCTCCTGCGGCAGGGCACCCACACAGGAGCTGAGACCGGACGGCAGGACCCCGCCCCCGGCCCTTCCCTCCCCACTGCCCGCAGCTCAGCTGGCCCAGGCTGATGGGCGACCCTTCCAGGTGTCAGGCCCACCTTTGCTCCCGGGTGGGCAGCTATAAAAACGGACACCGTTTCCTGAACACCTACATCCACCCCACCCCACGTTACACCCCTCAGCCCCACTCACAGCCCTGGGGTGGATATCAGGCATCCCACGGGGCTGACGAGAACATGGACGCTTCCAGAGATCAGCGACTTCCCAAGATCACACAGAAGCTCTGGGACGTGAGTCCAAGTTTAGACTGACTCCAGAACCTTCGCTTGACCACCGAAGACGCCTTCCCCAGACGCCGTCGCCCTGGAGTCCTGTCCCTGCCTCTCCCCGTCTTCCAGATCGATTCCGGTGCAGCGGCCCAGCCCACCAGTCAGTCACCCGGGTTTTCAGCTCCGCAACACGGAGCCCAGGTTACTGAAATCTACCCTCCAGGGCTTCACGCGGGACCCTCCAACCCCCCTCTGCCTAAGCTATCAAGTCCCTGAGCAGCGTGGCAGAAGCTGACGCCGGGCCCCGTAGAGGTTCTCCCCATTCCTTAAATGCTAGGCTCCCTGTTCTTCGCCCCTGCTGCCCCGAGTAAGGACTACGTTTCCCAGCATCCTTGTCTATGTGTGGCCACGTGAGTGCATTCTGGTCAATGGGGTTCAAGCAGAGTGGGAAATCCTGCATACAAGGAAGAGAGGCCCCCTTCCTTGCCCCTTTCTCCTTCCTGCTGGCTGGAATGTGAGTGTGATGGCAGGAGCACAAGCATCTACTGGATGATGAAGCCTAGGGAGTGACAGGACAGACAGCAGGAAGGAGCCTGGGCCTCTGAGGACCTAGTGGAGTAGCGGTGCTAGCCCCGGACTGCCCATCTTCCAGTATTTTAGGGGCACATCAAGCTTGACCAGCCGTACATCTCACGCCTCAGACACTTCACCCCAATGACAGGCACCTGTCGTGATCTAGAACCTTCCTCCACCAAAGCACTGACTGCAGCGGTTAGCTTTCTCCTTCCTGCTGACTATTCCCAAAGCACACCTTTAAGACAAGAAGGGAGGCCATATTCTGGGGAGGCCCTCGGTGGACAGGGGCCAGCCGCCCTGCAAGTCCTGCGGCTTTGGCCCCCTCGACCTGGCTGCTCTGCCTTTTAACTTCAGGTGTTCATCCCTTGGCCACCACTTCATACAAACTGGGAGTTGGTCCTTTTCTAAGCGCCTTAGGCATTTATTGTCTACTCTGCGTCTAAACTACCCTAGGATCTAAGAAGACACAGAAGGCATACACAGCGACTTCTGCTCTCAAGCTCCCAGACGACAGCCATGCACGTTTTCTTACGAGTCTATGAAAAGCACATAATTTTTCAATGAAAACATGGATTTTTGCCGTGTCTTAAACCAGAATCTGAAGTGATAAATCTGTTTAAGTGTGAATTATTATGTAACAATAATAAGAGTCTACAACTGTCCTCGTCCATCAAAGGAGCTTTTTCACACATCGCAACAAGAAATAAGGCTACAAGGGACCCATTTAACAATGAGGTTGAAGCAACCCAGATTTACTGCGAGTGCTCAGACTCATGGAAAACCATAAATTTGAGATCAAATGGCCCTTCTTCTGAAAGCAGAACTGAAGGCAGCCCAGCAATACAGCAGGAAGGGCGCCAGCGCGGACACGAGACGCCAGCAGCTCGGCAGTCTCGAGCATCCTCATCGCGGTCCCAGGGCAGCAGCCCTACCTCTGGCGCTGCTCTGAGCCTGACGTGGGACCACCCGAGAGAGATGCCGGCCGGTTCTCAGCACGGGGGGACCCAGTGCTTGAGTCCAAGTCTAATGCTGCGGTTAGAAACGCAAACGCACGCCCTCAACCACACACACCAGAAATCTGAAGGAAGGGGAGAGCCTGACACTGATGTGCACGAAGTAACCCAGCTCATGCAGAGTCCCAAAGTGAAGGCAGTGGCCAGTGATACTGATAACAGTCTGCATTTACTGAGCACTTCCTGTGTGCTACACTTTGTGCTGAGTACTTTATATGAACAGTCTCATTTCATCCCTGCAGCAACTTTCTGGGAGGGTATTCTTACCCCGTTGGACAGATCCAGATCGAGAGCCAGTGGGGGTGACATGTAGCAAAAGAGGAAGAAGCAGCTGGAGCCCTTGGACCAAGACAGGGCCTGGCCAGCTCCAGGCAGCCTTCCTGGAGGCAGCTCTTCCTGCAGCGTGGCTGGGGGATAATCGGGTGTCAGCATAAATGATACACAGCCTAACGTACGAGGAAAACTTGCTAGAAATTCAGGGGAGAGTGTGGAAAAGAAGAGGGCTGATTCTGTGACGCCCAAAGCAACAGACAGTGAGATTCACCAGATAAAACTGAGCCTGCAAGGAAGAATCTTCCTCGCGAATCACTTCCTACATCACCTTCGCTGAATTTCAGCCTTTAGGGTCCTCTGGGTCCACAGCCCTTTCCCGCTTTTACCGACTTCTGCATCCGTGAAACACGAGACATTTTACCCCCAGTTTTCTGATGCGTGTGCGTTTGTGTGTTTTGTAAGGTTCGTGAGGTTCTTCAGAGCTCAGAACGATCTCCGACCAGGAAAGATGAAGAGCCCGGCTGCAGGCTTCCCGTCCCGGGCTGGGTGGGGTCTCTGTCGGGGTGCAGCTCAAGGGCACCCTGGCCCGAAGCCTGCTGAAGGCCCACGGCGACTCCAGGGAGACCCTGGTCTAGTCACCCGGGGACGCAGCCGCAGTGAGGGCCCTCAGCAGCTGGTGGCGTGGCCGTGATGCCCTGACCAGCCAGTGGGGCGGGAAAGCTGCATTTCCTGCCCAGTCCTCCCCAGAGAGGCTGCCCGTCCCCAAACTGGAAAGGAGACAGGGCCGAGAGGCCTCCAGGCAACCAGGAAGATCCTCGTGCAAAGAAAGACAGGGGGCAGGAAAATGAAGCAGGCCTTTCAGCCCGAGAGGTGCACCGTCCACACCTGCCCGCCTCCGTCTGCACCCACCCTGCCCAGCCCCCCTTTCCGTCCTGCAGAGACGGCGAGCTCAGCCCTTCCCCTCTGGCTCCACCGACCCCGGCCCGGGAGCCCACCCTCCGGAGTTGCTCACAGGAATCCCAAATCTGCCTCGCTGGGCAGCCAGAGGACCGTCCCCAGGGGTCACGAAATCAAGTTACTGAGTCTTTTTCCTATTTGGAAAAAGAATAGGATGGAATGGAATGAAAAGACTAGAAAACAGCTGAGTCATGGAGTACACGGGGTAGAAAGGTTAAGCTTTGCTTCTTGAAACTTCGGTTTCTGTGTGTGTGTGTGTGTGTGTGTGCGCGCGCGCACGCACGTGCAGGATCACACTTTAAAACTGTGTGTCTCAGTCAGGAAACTGAAGGGCAGATCTCGGGCGGTCCACAGAGCATGATGGCAATGGCTTTCTGAAGAGCTGTGAAGTCACAGGGAAGAAAACAAAACCAGTGGGGACCGAGGACCCAGAGTCAGTTCTGGCCATGCCGTGTCCCCAGACGAGCCCCAGGTCTGTTTGAGCTCCTTCCTCATTTGCAAAATGATGATGGCGACTCCTGCCCCGCCTGCCCCCAGGGCTCTGGGCAGCTCAGCTGGAGCAACGGTTGCTCAACATTGAACACGGCACAGAACAAGGCTGACTGGGGCACCGTGAACATCCGGCTTATGGTGGGAAGTTCAAGCCGGGAGGGGAAGAGATGGGTAGAGGATTTGGGAGCCATCGTGGTGCACCCTTCAGTCCCCTAAGTGTCCAGCTGGGTAACAGTCCAGCGGACGCCTCAGGGATCCTTCTGCTGCAGTGATTCTCAGCAGCACAGGCAAAGGAGGTTTTAAGTTCGTCTTGTTACCACCGTTGGCCCCAGGGCTATTGTGTGTGACAGCAGCCGAATGTCTGACTGTCTGACGCTGGCCGGATCATTCCAGCTCACCCCACCCCTGCAGAACCGCATCACTCTCAGGGCGGAGAGGCAAGGCCACGTGCCTGCCTTTCACTGGCGCCAAGGCTGAGGTTCTCTCCATTGCATGGAAAGATCTCGCCAAACACTGGTTCTCTGTCTTCCTGCGTGAGTCATAGACTAAAGAATGAAGAAACGCTTCTGAACGACAAACAAGGAAAAAAGAAGAGGAAGAAAGCTAGGATGACGTGTTCTCGGACCACAACTCCTAGTCAGTTTACATGAGCAAAATCAACATGCAGATCTCTGTTTATAGAGTAAGCTGTTAAAGGACAAAAAAAAAAAAATCCATTCCTTTCTTCTTTTCTAATTGAAAGATAATAGACACACAAAAATCAAATCATAAAATTAGTTCCCAAGAAGAAAGGAATGTCGGCATCTTAAAGTGGGTGCATCCTCCCAAACTTGTTTCTGAACTAACAGGTGGATGGACACAAATGGAGACACAGGAAGATGTTACTTTATAACCCACTTTGTTTATCCATCAGTGTCAGAGAGCTTCACCCATGATGGCCAGTGGAGGGCTAGGACACTTCATCATGCTGTTAGAGGTCGTGTAGGATTCCCTCGTACGGAGGAAGTGCAATTTATTAATCAACCTCACTAAGGGACGTTTAAGTTGCTTCTGAATTTTTTTTTTTTTGAGGTAGGGTTGACACATAACATTGTGTAAATCTAAGGTGTAAAACGTGTTAACCTGACCCATTTATAGTTGCTTCTGAATTGTTGCTCATACAAACGACGGCAGGATAGATATGCTTACACATTCGTCACTGTGCACTGGTCCCATTACCTCCGTGGGGTTCATTTCTAGCAGAAGAGCCAAAACCCGTCTGCAGTTCCAGCGTCAGTGCAAACCACCAAACCGCTCCATGGAGGGTGGGTGCCGGGTCCCACTGTCTCAGCACCTCACCAACAGGGGCTGTTACCAATCCTTCCACCTTGTTCCCAACCTGATAGGTAACAAATAATATTCCACTGCTGTTTTCATCGCCTGTCTCTGATTTCAGTGAGGTGTGAACTTACGAACATGGCTCGTTATCAGTGCACCCGTACTGCTAGCAGTGATGACGAAAGCGTGCTTAGCACTGGGCTAAGCTCCTCACGGAATTCGCTCTTTCACCCTCACGATAACCCTGCAGGCAGGTACCGCTGCCCCTGTTTCACAGAGAACAAAGGCTTAGCGAGCTTCACTTGCCGAAGGTCAAGGAGCCGATAAATAGTGACCCCCGAACTCAGTCCAGGTAGACCTGCCTCTACAGCCGTGTCCTCGAGCGGGGCTGTGCTTCCACTTACCTCCAGATGCCAGTGGGCTGACTCTGTGTTTCTTCTAGGGATGTTTCTAGCTGGGGGTGTTATGTGTTTATGCCCTTTGCCCATTTTACAGTCGGAGTGTTCATCTTTTTCTTATTAATTAGCAATAACTCTTTGTATATTAAGAATAATAAACTTTGTCATTTTTGGCTACTGACTTTTTCTCTGTGGAATGTATTTACACCCAATTTACAACTTTCACTTCTGTTTATACTCAGTGTAGGGGTTTGAGTGAGGGCTGGAAAGAGCCTGATGTAGGACCCCTGATGCACAGAGAGTCACAGGCAGGCGGGCTGAGCTGATGTTACATCTCACTGGTGACTCAGTCACCGAGCCAGGGGCTTGGCAGTGAGGAGGGGGAGGGAGGAAGGAAGAGACGGACTGAGTCAGCCGAAGCAGCGGTTCCTGCTCTGTTGGGTCTCTTGCTGAGCTGCCCCTCCAGGACTTTTTCTGTCCCTTCTGCCACTCCCCATCCCACCCCCGGAAGAAGTGGCCTTTGTCACTTGGGATGGTTCCAACGGAGCCGACCCTCTTCTTCTCATTCCCAAACTTAAACCTCCCTTTATTGAAGCAGAGACTAGGCTCTGTTGACAGACCATCCTCCAGAAAGCGGGGCGCACGCCAAGGGGGGTGGGGGGCGGTCAGAGGCCAGGCCTCGGGGCGCCACCCGGGCGTCTGGCCGCGTGGCAAGTCGCTCCAGGCTCTTGGCCCCAGGGTCCTCGCCAGCAAGATGGGGAAATGACGACGACGTCACACGGCGGCCTGGAAACGCTCGTCGAGCGTTGTGCCTCATGGGACCCGAGTCTCAGCAGATGGCCCGCTGCCCACCACCACCCCCCGGGGCCCTTAGAGACGGAGCTCGTGGAGCAGAGAGGAGGCCTCGTGGGCACCCGGAGGAGGGTGAAGCTGCTGCGACCTGGCTGCCCTGCTAGGAACCTAGCACTTCAGCTGTGTGTCTCCAAAACCGCCCCGCAGGGCGGCGCCCGAGCTCAGCGACCCAGCGGGGGCTGCAGGCTGCCTCTGTCTGCCGCGCACAGCTGCAGCCCCAGGGGCGGGCCCAGAGCCTTCCCGCGGCACAGAAGCCTCTGCCTTTGCCTTTTATTATTCAGGGTGGCAGAGTCAAAATCTACAGAGATCCCAAATACGTCAGGACTCCCTGGAAGCCAGAGGAGAAAGTGATCCGCTGAATGCACTGTCGCGACCAAAACAACGCCCTCGCCAGCTACCTGGTCCGTCAGTGCTGCGCAATTCGCAGCCGCCCCTCCCAGCTCGCCCTCAGCCCGCCTCTGGCCCCGGCTCGGCTGACCCTAGTCCTGCCCTTGCTCCCAAAGCTCTGCAGACTGGAAGGGCTGTTCCCACCATGCCTGGAGCCCGACTCCTCGCAAAGGAGGAAACGCGCAGCTGACCGAAGTGCGTCCGGCCAGAGCCTGGCCACCGTGCCCTTGGCCGCGCACTTGCCTAGCCCTTCTGCACTCGTCACGTCCTTGGTCTCCCCCAAACCCTCCAAGCAGCACAGCTCCTGGTCCCCGTTTTCTGATGGGAGCCAGGCATCAGCTCACACCCCCCAGGCAGCCTCCCGCCCCCGCCCCCGCCCAGAAGCCCTCGGTCAGGAAGACACAAGCGTCCCATCTCAGCAGCTCTAAGTCAGGGTTGAGCGCTCGCTGGGCAGCCTGGAGGCCCAGGCTCTGGGTGCCCACGGTCCTCCCCAGGGCGGTCACGTTGGCGTCAGCAAGCGGCTGCTGCCCTGCCCTCCAGCCTGTCCCCTGGGCTGTCCCATCGCTCAGCTCACCTGTGAACTGGGTGGTACCACAGCCCTCGGGGCCACACCACAGGAGGTAAAACCCATCACAGCTCTTAGGAGGAAGCTGGGAAATGCAGCCAAAACCAGCATTGCCCAGATGGAGGATTAGAACAAACCTACAAGAAGGGCCGGCACGCGGACCACACCCCCCCCCAAGTTCAAGGGCACAGACGCCAAGGAAGGCTCGTCCCCGAGAGGAGCCACAGGCAAGGCCGGCTGGAGGCTGCTCTGAGCGGCTCTCGACCGGGAGTCGCCAAGGCTTCTTTGGGATACTCCAGTCCAATCCCTGTGTCTAACCGTTGACGGAACTAACCTCCCAATAGGTTAGTTAAGGGACTGGATCAGCTGGTCAATGGCAGGAAAGTGGCCAGAAGCCAGGCGGCTCCAGCAACGCCTCACGTGTGCTTCCAAGCGCTTGGACTTCCCTCCGGTCCTCCTTCACGTACATACACTCACCCGCATGCACGCCTACACACATGCACACACATGGGCACACATGCATACATGCACACACTCACACACCTACGTGCATACACACGTGTACACACATGCATACATTCATGTACACACACATCTAAGGCACATGTGCTCATATACATGCACTTGTACGCACACGTGTGCTTGCACACACACGTGCACACGTGCACACACACATCCGTGCCTCTCCTCCTCAGGCAGGAACATCGCCCCGGTGACACGCTGACCAGGAAGCTCTCCGAGGGGACCCTGTGTGCTGGGGGGGGCCTGATTTACTTTCAGCTTTGCGTTTGCACCTGACGATCGGCCGACACGCAGGCCAGCAGCAGCACGGAGCTGTGAAATGACCATGGGTAAAAGTGCTCAGGAGGGGCCCATGCTGGCGCCTGGTGCACAGACCCGGCCGCGTCCCGGTGGGTGTCGGGCAGGAGACGTCGGTGTAAAGCTCGGGGGCTCTGTGGTCAGCCCGGGGCCAAGACCCCCCCCACCCCCTTGACTTTGGGCAGCTGGCCATCCTCACGCACTGAGTCCAGGCCCACAGGGGGTGTCTCCAGAGTGAACGAGATGCTGCACGTTGGCTGCCGCCTCCCGGCCCCAAACAGCCAAACAGACAGAAAGGCACCGGGTTGGTCTCCGCCCGCGGTGGAGAAAAGCGCCGTCCTGCCTGTTCTTTTCCCAAACTCCAGGTCTGCAGTTGCCCCCGTGGGTGAGGGCGGTAGCAAAGTTTCCCAAAACCCTCTCAAAACTCACCCGATCGAGAGGTCCTTTCCCGGTGGATACCGGGCACCCGGCCTCTATGATCCTGTCCTCCACGTGCTGCCATCCGAGCATCCTCAAGCCACGCCCTCTGGGTCTGCACGGACCCACAAGATCACAGCGCCCAGAGGGCAACGGTGACCCCACGTCAGCTGAGAACTTGACCCAGGAGGCGCCCAGACCTGGAGCAGGAGAGCCTTCCTTCCACCCTGGCTAAGCGTGTGGTGAGCTCGTGAGAGAGTCTGTGAAGTCGCTGTTCCCAAGGACTCGGTCCAGCCGGTGGGGAAAGGTCAGAAGCCTGCCCCTCTTCACGCCTCTGGCCCCCAGCCTCGCGGGGGCCTCGTGCACGCAGGACCACAGTGCACCGGAGCAGAGAGGCGGACACGTCCCTGGCGGCCTGGTCTCGACCCGCTCGGACACTCTGGGGCCAGGAGGGGGGCCACCACGCGCCGGCCAGCGTTAGCATCCCAAGGCCCCTCGGCTCACACACAGGCAGTCTGGGCAGCCCCTTGGCCCAGAAAGCGTCTCCAAGCTCCCGTAACCGTCCTGGCAGCGGCCTAAACTTGCTCAAGGCTTCGGGGGTGCGCAGGTCAACCTCCTCAGGGAAAAATACAGGAACCGGCCAGGGCCTGGGCGGCACTGCCTGCTGACCCTCTGCACTCTCGTCTCTCACCAGGCAATCGTGCTAAGCTGACTGCCTCCAAGCAGGCTCGTGTTTAATCCTCCCCGTGACGCTCACTCCCCCAGTGAGGGAAGAGCTGCGGAGACGGGAGGCAACCGGACAGGATTACGGGGCCAGAAAGGGCGGGGCCTCGGCCAGACCACACCCCAGGGTCCCCGCCTGCCCCGTCCTCACAGACTGTGAAGCATCCACTGTATTCAAGTGGACAGACAGCGTCCAAGCAGAGAGAGGAAGGCGCGGCCCCGGCCTCCAGCCCCGCACGGGACTCCAAGCAGACAGGGCAGCCTCCCCTGACCCAGCCCCGCGCCCGCGCCCGCTCCTGTCTGCATGACAACCGGCCGGTCTCCGTGGCAAAGTGAAATTGTCCTTCTCTGTGAGTCAGGATGCCCTGAGGCCTCACTGCTACAAGCTCATGAGTACGACCAGCTGAATACATTCCCATTCACAGGAGTCCCTCCGCACAATTCTGGTGACCAATCCTTCAATGCCCTTTAAGATAATAAAAGATGAAGAGAATACTGAAAAGGACGCGTGATTTGCTTGAACTGACGTGGGTCTGGTAAACCGACAGGCCCTCAGAACTGTGCTGTTTAAATGCACCTTCTAAAAAAAAATAATAATAAATAATAATAAAGAAATGTACCTTCTTCACAGTGAGCCACCATGCCCCCTCCAGGGCAGGGGGACACTGGAAACGGGACGCAGACCGACTCCTCGGGAGGGGCCGTGGGCAGCTGCGTAAGGGCAGGCGCTCTCTCTCACTGTGACTCACGTCTCAACAGGAATGGAGATCTGGTAAAAAATGAAGAAGTACTTTCATGTAAAGGTACCTATGGGGCGTCTGTTTCCCTCTGCCCCAGTAAAACATCCAACCCCACTGGCGGGCACCGCTGGAGCCCCCCGGCCCACCTCCCCTTCCAGCCACTGTTGCCACCAGCTCTGAGCAGGCAGCTTGGCCAGGTCTCTCGGGTGCCTGCTGGGACGTATGGGCACCGACACAGGAAGTGACCCCACTGGGCCACCGCCGACCAGCGGGAGACAGGGCCACGGAGAGAGGCTCCACCCTTCGTGGGTAAAGCAGACATTTCCAAGACGCGTTTCTCCAGGCACCCGGGCAGGCCTCTGGGGGCCAGTCCCCCACCGTAAGGCAGCTTGTAGGGTCCCCCCTTTCTTTCCCCCCTTTCCCTGCTCGCCAGCATCATTTCCCAAACCAACCGCCTGCCTACAGGCCTCTCTGCCAGCCTCTCTCAGGGTAACCCAGACTAGGAAACTAATTTCCTGCGGTAAGATCCAATGACAATAGTTTTCAAATCAACAGGAGGTGAGACCTTACAAAAGATGTTTCTGTCCATCTCTGCTTTCAAGGAGGCAGCCCGGGAGACAGATTCAACATTGAAATATACAGAATTCCGGACAGCATCTCAACAATTTGTGTGGACCATTAGTCAGAAGAGTCGAAATAGGGCTTTTGCCCAAATCTGGGATGTCTGGTGGCTGCAGCTCTACAAGAACAGTGAAGATAAAGTTTAACTTTACGTCCCTGAGGAGCAGGAGACAAAGAGGCCGAGAATATGAGGTCCAGTGTGGCAGGAAGAAAATGTCGGTCACATCAACGCTAAGCGGCTGTCACCACACCTGAGCTGACACAGCTGAAGCATCCTTTAAAACGGACTTCCCAGAAAGTCGAAACCAAACATCCCACACTAAACAAATATTTTAGAGAGGAGGAGGTTACCCTCTAAGGGGTATCTGGAGTGTGATGGGTGAAGGTCACTAACACGGCAATGCTCCCCAAATAAGCACATGGAGCCTGGGAAACCAATATCGCGCTTCACCAAGGATACAGGTCATCCCGGGAGCGCTCCAGAAGGGCAGGGGCGGCTGCAGACGGACCGCCTGTGTGGCGTGGACCACTCTGGGAGCACAGCTACACGCTCTGCTCGTCGACCTTACCAATGACGATCAACCAACACCTGAAAAGATGCTCCGGAGAGTCCGAGACACCACGGAGGAAGGAAGCTCAAAGCAAGACACCGCACGCACACCTGACCTGCGATCACTGTCCCAAAAGCTACGAGGAAATGCCGGCCTTGGTTCCTCTGCACAGGAGTGCCGAGTGGGGAGACTGGAGGACCTTCCGGCTGTGTTCCAGGGCATGGGGTGGGGCAGGGGGGAGGGTGTCAACCACAGCGGAGGCCAGGAGCTGAACGAGCTTCTCCCAGTCCCGGGTCTTCTGTGCTCCAGTTTCCATGTCTTACAAAATTAGGTTGCTAATATCGAGAAAAATCTTGAGGAAGAAGAAATGAAAGAACATAGTGAAAGTGCTTTGTAAAAATAAACAGTATCATGTCAACTAGTATTAGAGCTAGGACAGATATTCAACTTCACCTAGAAAGTCCTATGTTCAAAGCTAACATGTCATCCCCACAAACTACCAGGAAAGGACGTATTTAAACAAATTTACACTTGAAAAAGCTTTAACGTGCCTTAAGCACCGAAGAAGCATCCTTGTCTTATGACTGATCCGAAAAGTCATTCTCGCCTCTCATTGCAGAGAAAGGGTGTCTTCCCCCCCGGCAGCACTGCTTGAGCCCAGCTTTAATTAGAGAACAACTTTGAAAGTCACATGTATAGACTGATATAATTCAGGCTGGCCTCCTTCCACTTTGTAAAAATGGGTCAACTTTTCTTTGAGCAAGTTTAAAAACATTCCACTTTTTATTGGAGCTCCAATTTGTCACTGTAATTCATATTTTGAAGTACACGGCTAGAAATAATAGTCCCATTTGCCCAGTCTAGAAATTCATCCTTGCTGAGGCCCAGTCTCTATGATAAATCAGCAAATTAAATGAAATGTTCTAGTCTAGTTACTGAGCATCAGTGGCTGCTAACACAACAGAAAGGCATGTGTCGCTTGATGGAAAAGCAACCGACACCTTTAAAGTCATCTTGAAAAAAAAACTAATCTGAATCTGATCGAGTCTCTCAGTTCAATCACCAGTTACCAGGGAATGTGTATGGAGGAATAAGTTAAACGACACATGGGAACAGTCAGTGAAATCCAGAATGACGTGTGAAACTCAACATACAAACTTTCCCAGTTTTCAACAAAAGAAAAGGAAGAAAAAAGAGAGAGCGAGGAAGGTGAAGGATGGACTTAATTATTTAAAAAGGTAAAAAGACACCAGCCCATCACATTGTGTGAATTTTACTTGAATCCCAATTCAAGTATACAAACTGCTTTTTAAAATTACAACTTAAATTACTGGCCATGAAGGAGAAACCAGTACAGATTATTTTCCTCCCCCAAACAAACAGAAAATTGTGCAAAACATAAATGAAAACGTTTTTAGACATAAGATATCAAACAATATGACTCTGACCCTGGAGAAAAAGAAACAAAGAAGCTGAGCTTTACAATCTCCTGGATTTCTGCCTGAAAGCAAATTTAAAACAACAGCAAAGGGACAGGAGCATCTAAGAGGAGCTCCACATCTGAGTTGAGGGAAACAGATCAGAGTTCAGGGAGGCCGTACCAGAGAGAACTGAACTGTGCAAAGAAGGGTTCCAGAAAGCTGCATGGGGGCCCCTTGAGCCTCTGGCTGAATCCAAATCTGTGCATTCATAGGGGATATTTCTACAAGGCTGGACAAAGAACAGTTCCCAGAGCTTTCACAGGGCTGGGAGGGATGCACATTCTAACCAGCCATGTGGACACTCCTGCTTGAGCGCCCAGAGCAATATGTAGAGATGCCAGAGGGGCACACCTTAGTAATAGGGTTGACTTAGCCCAAAAGTACAGACTAGTCCAGAACTGCCCTAAAAAGGGCTTAAATACAAACCTGGTAAGGATTCATCAGAAATACGTAACTTAATTTTCTAGCAAAACAAAATCCAAAACACTTTAAGAAAACAAAACCCAAACACTCAACGACCTAAACCTCATAACGTCCCACATCCAATCAAAAATTACTAGACATGCAAAAAACAGCTAATTATGACCCATAACAAGAAGGAAAATCAGTCAGAAGAAACAGACCCATAAATGACAGAGATGTTAGAAACAGCAGACAAGGACTTCTAAAGCGCTCTTATACGTATACTTAAATCTCAAAGGAAAACATGCACATGATGAAGAGACATAAGAAAAGTGTTTTTAAAAAGCATCAAATGGAACTTTTAGAGAAGAAAAATACACTATTTGTTGGGAAAATTTAATTGGACAATTGTAACATCAGATCAGATGCTACAAAAGAAAGGTCAGTGAACAGGAAGACGTTGAAATGGAAAATATTCAAATAATACGTAGAAAGGAAAAAAGACAAAACACACACACACAAACTCAGCAACCTGTGGGACAATATCAAGTAGTCAAATACACATGTAACTGGAGTCCAGGAAGAAGAAGACAGAGAGCCGGTGGCAAAGACAAATTATTTGCAGAATAATGACTGGAAATTTTCCATCTCTGATGCAAATAACAAATCCATAGGTCTAAGAAGCTCAGGGATACACACGATGGATAAACACCAACCATTGAGGGGAACATCACAATCAAATTGCTGAGAACCAATTGTTAGCAGTAAATGTTTTAAGTGGCCAGAAGAAGATAGATAGATATCTATATTCCTCTATTTCTATGCCCATATAAATGTGAAAGAAAGCAGATGAGCTGTTGCCTGGGGCTGAGATTGGGAAGAGGAGGTGAAATTGCATGCAGGGGGCATGAAAGAACTTCCTGTGGTGGTGAAAATGTTCTCTAACTTGACTATGATGGTGGTTACAGGAGTGTGTACATTTGTCAAGACTCATTTAACTGCACCCTTAATATAGGTACATTTTATTACATGAAAAATGCACTTCAATAAAAATGACTTTAAAGTAATATGACATCTTCAAGATAATTGAAAATTTAACACCTATTGAGTATTTAATGATATTAAAAATTACTGTTAATTTTGTAGGTATGATAATGGTATTATGTTATTTTTTGTATTTTTTTTTTTGTTTTTTTGTGGGGTTTTTTTGCAGTACGCGAGCCTCTCACTGCTGTGGCCTCTCCCGTTGCGGAGCACAGGCTCCGGACGCGCAGGCTCCGCGGCCATGGCTCACGGGCCCAGCTGCTCCGTGGCATGTGGGATTTTCCCGGACCGGGGCACGAAGCCATGTCCCCCGCACCGGCAGGCGGACTCTCAACCACTGCGCCACCAGGGAAGCCCTATGTTATATTTTTAAATGAGTTCTTATCTTCAGAAGTACATAGTGAAATACAGATGAAATTATATGATATCTGAGATTTGTCCTTTAAAAAATGTAGGCAGGGCTTCCCTGGTGGCACAGTGGTTGACAATCTGCCTGCTAATGCAGGGAACAGGGGTTCGAGCCCTGGTCTGGGAGGATCCCACATGCCGCGGAGCAACTAGGCCCATGAGCCACAACTACTGAGCCTGCGCGTCTGGAGCCTGTGCTCCGCAACAAGAGAGGCTGCGATAGTGAGAGGCCCGCGCACCGCGATGAAGGGTGGCCCCAGCTTGCCACAACTAGAGAAAGCCCTGGCACAGAAATGAAGACCCAACACAGCAAAAATAAATTAATAAACTCCTACCCCCAACATCTAAAAAAAAAAAAATGTAGGTGGCAGGGGAATGGAAGAAGTAAGGATAAAACCATATTGACCACCAGTTGGTAGTTGTTGAAGTGGGATATTGGGTACATGGGCGTTCAATACACTATTTTCTCTACCTTTTAAAATAATTGTTTGGAACTTTCCATAACAAAAAGCTTTTTGAAGTGCTTTAAACACATGAATGATGTCATGTGTTTATTCATTTAAAAATGTAAACTGATCAACTATTTTGAGTGGCAGATACTCTGGGGCATAAAACTAGTAGAATAATATTGTCTTAATATTTCTTATTGCTCCATAGTCAATACTCAGTTTCATTTAGCTAAGATTAAGGAGTTAGATGGGGGTCTGGTGGAATTTTGAAGGGAACTTCTGAGCGTCCTAAAGACGCCCGTAGTCTCCATTCGGTGCAACTGCCCATCGTAACTTGTACACTATTCCCTTTAGTATGGTAGCACCAGCGCTAGGCTGCTGGCTGTTGAGCACGATCAGGATGATTTCTAATTCACAGATAAAGAGCTTAAATGAGAAGGAAGGAGGAAGAGAAATAACCTAAACTCCCTGATGGGGAATTTTAAATGGAGAAATTATATATCGGTTACAATGTAGGGCACTATAAATTCAACAGAGAATAGCTTGGGCACTATTCCTGGGGCACTAGGCACTATAAATTCAACAGAGAATAGCTTGGGCACTATTCCTGGGGCACTAGGCACTATAAATTCAACAGAGAATAGCTCGATTCCAGTCTGGCCTGAGAACAAAGTCGGCCCCATAGACTGTAAGTGAACTTGAAGGCAGTGTGCAAACCAGCTGACACGGAAGACTCTGAAAGTGAAGCACATAACTCGAGGTACGTGAAAACAGCAGTAACATGGAGAGATGGCGCTCTTGCTATAACTCGGGAAGAACTTGGTAGAGAAGTTGTAGGAATCCTCCAAACTCAAAAGGGAGAATTAGGGCAGATTACCGTCAGCACTACACAGGACACATTATTTTCATTGCTGCAAAAGCAAACACGCTGATTAAGTCTGATTCGGTCGGCATCGCCAGCACACTTTCTGGACATTATACCCAGCGTTTAAATTCTGCACGTGCTGTGATGCAGCCTTATACAATCCTGCCCACCCTTTCCAGGGGGCCAGCGTACGCCAACAGACGGGTATGCAGCCTACCTCAGGTAACAGCACAGACTCCATCCTGGGAGGAGGAATTAATTAGAAAGCAGCTGACCACTTCTTGAATGTACCCGCCTAGGCTGGGAAAGACCAGGACAAGGCTCTTCCCAGCTAAAGCTGAACCTCAAAGTCGAAGGCTCATGGGATCATTTACGAAAAGGATGGAGGAGACCTTAGAACAGGCTGAGTCTGGCTTAGCACCAGAATCTGCGAAGAAACTAACTGGGAATAATGCAGAGCTCAGACTTCAAGCCAGGACTAGAAAACGACAGCCCTAACATTTTTAACACAGAGGCCAACCGTTTTATCATTATTTATTGGACCTTCAAAACTAGGGTGCCCGTAGAATTTACTGTCCAAAACTGGAACACTTTTAAGAGGAAGGGGGACCCTATAATAATTACATGGGGGCAACAAGCAGAAAATGGGACTGTTCTGGGCAGTGAGTACATGGTCAGACCACCTAAAACGACAGCATTTTCCGATAAACAACTGAGCCCCTCATCTTACACGGACCCTCTACACATCACGCAGCACGTGCCACCGATTATGTACCTTCCATTCTCACTGGCCAAGTTCATGGTGCTGTGATGTTGTCTGCAAACCAAGGAGATGCCTCAGAAGAAACCAGCCCTGCTGACACCTTGATCTTGAACGTCCAGCCTCCAGAACCATGGGAAATATATTTTTGTTGTTTAAGCCAGCCAGTCTGTGTTATCCTGTTACGGCAGCCCTAGCAAACTAATGCAAAGGGTAGTTTTTAAACTTTTATCAAATGGTTACCTACAGAGTAGAGAAGACGGCAAGGTGGAAAAAGCAGGGATGAAAATTAAATTTTCCTGAATACAACTCAGGTTACAGCTTTGATTCTGAAGCCAGATAAGTACTACATAATTATGAAAAAACTACAACGATGAAGGAAACAAACAGCAAATGCACCAAACGGCGCTAACCTGGCGTCAAGGGTCCGGTTGTCTCAAGGAACTTCAACACTCAGTAACGTGGCCGTGTGGCTAGGGAGCTGTATTCCCGCGGAGAAGAAAAACAGCAAGTAAGACTCAAATTGCTTTCAGTGACCACAAAAGAAGCGAAATTGAGCTATTTGTAGTGAGGTGGATGGACCTAGAGTCTGTCATACAGCGTGAAGTAAGTCAGAAAGAGAAAGACAAATACTGTATGCTAACGCATATATATGGAATCTAAAAAAAAAACATGGTCTGAAGAACCTAGGGGCAGGACAAAATAGCTAGCTAGTGGGAAGCAGCCGCATAGCACAGGGAGATCAGCTGGGTGCTTTGTGACCGCCTAGAGGCGTGGGATAGGGAGGGTGGGATGGAGACGCAAGAGGGCGGAGATATAGGGATATATGTATATGTGTAGCTGATTCACTTTGTTATAAAGCAGAAACTGACACACCACTGTAAAGCAATTATACTCCAATAAAGATGTTAAAAAAATTTTTAAAAACTCATTGTTTTCAGCGATCACAATGTTAATAATAAAAATTGAAAGTGACATTCTGAAACAGGAATAGGTAGAGAGACACACACAGGAATGATAAAGCCAATGAGTAGCTATGTCGTTGTGATATTCAGCATAAGAGAAAATAGATATAGACACAAAATTTTAAAAACCCTAAGTGAAAACCTTGCAATCCCATAGTGGAATTGGAAATAGCATATAGTTTAAGAAAATTTTTTCCCTAGTACTGTCCATTGTAAAGTCCTGGAAACAATGACCAACCCAGGAGCAATGAACAGGTCTAGATCTCAGACCTTGGTCCCTCAGTACTATTTCTATGTATAAAGAACCAGGGATACTTTGGATAAACAGGTAACTCCAGGTATGAGGCAGGAGTAGAAAGTGAGTCTGGAGTATCTTGTCATAGTAGAAGTCTAGGAAGCTATGAATGGATTTAAGCGAGTCATATATGTGAAAGACCTATTTGTTAACTATGATACTTATATAGATGTGTGTGTGCCTTTTGACGGATTCTAGAAGAACTATCAAATTATTTGAAAAGAAGTAAATAAAAGGAATCAGGCATTTAACCTTCTTTTCTGCACACACGGTATTTCCAAGTGACAAAGAGCTGAGGAGGAATGGTTTTTCTTCAAATACGTTTAGAGCTTGTAAATAAAGGAGAGAATGTCGCCATCTTGCCACCCCTGGTGGTGACGGGCACTTGTCAGGGCACTTGTCAGCAACGGCTGCAAAGACCAGGAGGTGAGAAGCTAATGGGGAGCTTTGAAGTGGATGAGTCAAGCTCACGTTTGAATTCACTGATTAGTCTTAAGTCACAAGAAGAGCAACACCCTGTCATAATGAGCCTCCTGACAGAAACCCACAACATCATCAGTATTCTTGAAAACAACATCAAAAGTGAGCATGGTCAAGCCTCTAGATCTGTCAATTCACCGGAAACACAGCAGGCAGAAGACGGTGCTGACCGACAGGACGTAATCAGCAAAATCCAAATTATAGGAAATTTCTACGGGACAGACAACCTGCTTATTTAACAATTAAATTAAAAACAGGGAAAAAAGATCTATAGATTCAAGAAACTTAGAAGACTTATCAATCTAACGCAAGAGGACCTTATTTGAACCCTGGATTAATTAAACTATTTATTAAAAATGAAAGCACTGGGAAAATTTAATTATGATGATATTTGGTAACATTATGGAAATATTGGCAATTTTTCAACGTTTGACAATGGTGATGGGGTTACATTGTTATTTTTTTAAAAAGAAGCCCATATTTTTTAAAGATATTGACGGAATTACGGAAGAAAAAATATGATGTCTTGGATTTGCTCCATAAAAAGCTAGTGGAGGGTGGGAAGTCGGGGTGGGGGAGATACAGATGAAACAAGAGGGGCCGTAAGTTGATAAACACTGATCAGGATGTTTGTTTCAACTCTGACAGCAGTTCTTGTTCTAGGTTAAAAAGACAAAAGTGAGGTCTGGGGACTTGCCTGATAGAGCAGAGACATAAACCCAAAGTCATCTATCTCCAAGGTCCCCATCGGGGTCCAAAGTGACCTCATCTTCTCCGGGGTGATGGGGAGTTCGCCCCTCCTGCCCGCACTCGCCGTGCACAAGCCTGGCCTGTGGTCCAAGAGCTGGGGCTGCCAGCCAAGGCAGGGGTGGCACAGACCCTTCCCTGCCCGTGGGGAGGGCTGAGTGGGCCCT